TAGCACAGAGCTCACTCACAGGAGAAGTGTCGCCTTGGAGGACATACTGGAGTCCCAGACCCCCGTGCCACTGCAGGATTGAGGAGATTTTGCCCATTAGGAAAGGGAGGTGGCAAGAAGGACAAGGTCCACCTACTTACCTAAAGGAATTGACTTTATTTTGAGCAGCATGTGGGGACATTCATGTCAAAATGCTTTGTCAAAAATGATGAAGCTCTTGACTACGAGCAATTTGAAGGAAGCTGGTGACTCTAGGGCACTTGTAAGAGCAAGAAAACTGGTAGACAAACTAGTAGTCTAATAGATACCAGGGTGAGGGCGGAGTGGGGCCAGGAGGGGAAGCGAAGAAGATTCTTTGTGTGGGCAGAGTATTCACCAAGATGGTCAACACCATGTCTCTGCAAAGGTGGCATACTTTCACCAAAGCAGACTCTAGGGATTAGAGCACAATTGAAAGCCATGAAGTTTTAGCTCGCAATTAGTATACGCTGAGTGCAACCCCAGGGGAGGCAGGCAAGTTAGGACTCTCAGGAAGACTGTGCCACTGCCCCCTGAGAAGCACCCGCACGCTGCACACTGCAGGGGAAGCAAGCATCACTGAGCTGCTTCAGCCCAATGATGGCAAGAGTTACCGCACACATTGCCTGTCGTGCCCAGCTTTCAGCACAATACTATGAGGCATGCATGAAAAAAAGAAAAGGGGAAGAGAGAGAAATAGAAGAAGGAGGAGGAGGAGAGACGGAAGAAAGAAAGAAGAAAGGAGAGAGAAACTGGCAGCATAACCCATACACAGGAACAGAAGGGAGTAATAGAAGTAGTTGCTGACAGGGTTCAGACTTAAAAACGACATTAAAACAACTATTATAAACAACTCCCATGAACTTGAAAAACAGGCCTAAAGCATTAAAAATGAGCATGATGAAAGTGCCACATCAAAGACTATCAGAAAAGTGATCAAAACGATTTAAAATATTGAAAGCCTGGAGCTGCAAAGTACCATATCCTTATTGAGGGGAAAAGACTCACGAGGAGGTTACAGTGGCACGTTTGAGTCAGCATTAGCTATTACCAGCAAGCATAGACACTGATGGAGAGCTTAGGCAATCTGCAAACAGAACGAAGACAGATTTTTTCAAGGGGAAGTCAAAGGGCCGAAAACCTCGGAGCCATGTGAGACATCAGCCAGACCATAGCACGTGTGAAATGTCGCTGTCAGACGACGTAGGGGCAGTGAAGGAAGTGGGAGAAAAGCGAATGACTAACAACTTTCTAAATTTGGTGAAAACAGTAACCTACACATAATGGTTCAAAACCAACGGTAGGGAGAGGATGGGAGGAATGGGAGGGAGTGACCAAGGTCAAGTGGGATAAACACAAACAGTTTTATACCCAGGTATGCTGGTAGAAAAAGAAATGAAAAAGAAATAGCCAACTGAAAAGAGAAAATCCTGCAAATGACAAGGGAAACATGTTCTTCTCTCGAGGAAGGGAAGTGGATAGGAGAGAAACAAACCTTGAGCAGGCACAGGAAGCCAGGTGGCAAATCACAGTCAGAGCAAGGTATGGAACATCACAATGGTACGAAGACTTCGTCTTACATGCTTTGGACATATTGTCGGGAGAAAGCAGTCCTGGTGGAGAAGAACAGCATGCTTGGTAAAGAGGAGGGGCAGCAACAGAGAGGAGGGCCCTCAGCAGGCTGGACGGACGCAGTGGCTGCATCAGTGGGCTCAGGGACCAGGCAATGGTGAGGATGGTGCAGGACCAGGCAGTGTTTCCTTTTGTTGTGCATGGGGTCACTCGGGGTCGGAACTAACTCAATGGCACTTAACAACAACATAGAAATACACACTTACTTCATTCTTGGCTCAACTTCTGTAAAAGACGTATTCATCCACTCATGAAATCATAATTAACGTATTGGGTTTTTAGCACATGGAACTTATGTCGAGAGAGTAAACTCACTGCCATCGAGCCAATTCTCACTCATGGTGACCCGAAAGGGCCAGGTGGAAATGGCCCTGTGGGTTTCTGAGACTGTAACTCTTTACAGAAGTAGAAAGTCTCATCTCTCTCCCATGGAGCAGCTGTGGTTCAGAACTGTTGACCTCATAGCTGACAGCCCAATGTGTAGCCATTATACCACCAGGGCTCCTGCATAGACAGCTAGATATACATAATAGCACAAAGGAAGAGGTAGCAAAGATGCTTTACAGGAGATAGTAAAGTTTATATTTCCCACTTGATTTCGATTATTATAAATCTGAAAAATATTCTGATAAACTAAGATGCATTTTCTAAGTCCTAGAACAGCTATTGAGAAAACAGCTAAGAAGGGAGTTAAAAATCACTCAAGGAGCTAAAACGTTGTATTATAAACTATGTCCTCAATGTAAAAGGAGGCAATGGAGTAGGAAGAAAGAACATAATAAAATATGTGGAAAACAAAACAAAAATAATGGATATAAGTCTAACTAGTACAATGATAACGAAAGGTAAATAGTTTTGAAATGTAGTGAAAAGTAAAGAGATTATAAAATTGTATAAAAGAAAGCACCTATATTCTGTCTATAGGAGACACACTTTAGATTCCAAAATATAATTCAATTGAAAGTAAAAGAGTAGATAAAGATTTTTTTTAAAGCATCATAAAAAGTTGGTGTGGTTATACTATACAGAGAAAATATATTTTTAAAACTATCAGTAGAGATAAGAAACCCCCCAAATCATTTGCCATTGGGTTAATTCCAAGTCATAGCAACCTTATGAGATCTGCTTCATAAGGTTTTCTTGGCTATAATCTTTACAGAAGTAGATAGGTCATGGAGGGTTCTCTTCTGCGAAGCTGTTGTAGGTTCAAAATGTACGCAATTACAAACTGAGTCTGGCTTCGGAGATATAAAGAAGAACATTTTATTATGATAAAGCCAATCCATCATGGAAACTGAACAATCATATTCGTATTTGCACCTAACCAAAAGCTTCAAAGGTAGATCGGTGAAGTCAACCCTCACAGAATTGAAGGAAGAAACAGACAGTTCAACAAGAATAGATCCAGACCATAATATACCACTTTCAATAACCAATAAACACCAAGGCAGAAACAAAAACCACAAAATAAAAATAAGACAGGGACAACACTATAGTCCATATAGAATTAACAGGCATCTATGGACTATTTCACCCACCAAGATCAGGACAGAATACTCTGTTTTCTTTAGCATTCCTAGACTCTTCTCTTGGATAAACTACATGTCGGGTCATAAAATAAATCTGAGTAAAATCAAAATGTAGGCCCAGTGTATTCTCCAGTGGCAATGTAATTAACAGAAATTAGTAACGAGAGGCCTCTGGGGAAATTCACAAAAATATGAAAACTTAACAACATACTGTTAAATCACCAATGTGTTACAAAGGAAATTATGAGAAACATTGGAAAATACAACGATATGAATTCAGACACAACTGCAACGTACACAAAAATTTATAAGCTGCAGATAACACCATGCTTGGAGGAAAACATATAGCTGTGGAAACCTATGCTGGAAAGAAGAAAGCTCTTAAGTCAATAAATTAATTTACACATTAAAAAACTGAAAAAAAGAGGAAGAAATTGGGAAGAGTGGAAATAGAGGATTTCTCACTCTAAGGGATACAATTTCTGAAATCTCCTCCTTGAGGGGTTGCAAGGGTTTGTGAACAAGAACGGGGCAAACAAGGGGATTCTACGGACTCCTGACCCCCATGAAACAAGTGACATGGTCAAATGCTACTCAGAATGCTGGGTGGGGCAGGGAGGGGGTGCTTGCCTATGATATCCCTTGGCCTTTCATTAAAACCTGGAATACCCGAGATCAACAACCCATCATGAAAATACAGCAATCATATCAATCACAACCGAGTGAACATCCTCTAACGCGCGCAAGAGCCCTTGCTTTTCCTCATAGGTTCACATGCAATTTCGAAGGTGAGGTTTAGGAGCAACCATTGTTCGTGAAGGAAATAGCAGCCTGAGGACACGCATTCGGCCATTTACATGCACGCTCCATTATTCATCTTTGCAAGTGAAAGGCATGACAATGCGTCCTCCAAAGGCAGAAATAACATCCTTAACATCTTTCTAGCGTTTCCCCTAATAACCCAAATCGTCGCTTCTCACTGCCCTTGAGTCAATTCTGACTCATGGCCACCTTACAGGACACGTAGAAATGCCCATTGGGTTTCCCAGACTGTAACTCCTTACAGGAATAGACAGTCTCATCTTCCTTCCATGATGTGGCCGGTGGTTTTGAACTGATAATCTCAACGTTAACAGCCCAACTCATAACCACTACACCACCAGGGCTCCTCTTGGTTAAATACCATTCCGCTTCTCGTCATGAAGATAGTTATACTGATTTGATAATAAACTAATAAACCAGAGTAACTCAGAAGAGATGAATATGTTGGGAAAAAAATGCTACCAGTTAGATGTTCATCTTCAAACCAAAAAGACCAGCCACAATTATTCTAGACTAAAATAAGCAACAAAATAGGGTGGTGTATGCAAATTTTTCTAGTAAGGCAAGAGACCTAACACAACATATTTCTATATTAAACCCCACCCGCCACCATTGAGTTAATTCCAACTCATAGCAAGTTCATGTGATCAAGAGGAGAACTACTCCACAGTGCTCCTAAGTGTAATAATCATGGACTCAGACTACTCCATCTCCACTCCCACCCCCCACAGAGTGGCTGGTGAGTTCGGACGATTGTCCTTTGTTAAGCATCACAATATTTAATCCATTTTACCCCACCAGGGTTCCTTACAACACATTTGCGGAAGTATGACTTGGCAATCATCTTTGGATTGTAGAGATCAAAGACATTTGGACGGCAGTAATAGAACACGCTGAAATGTTTCAAGGGAATCCCCGCCTTCACTCCTCTCTGTGGACTCACCTTAACCAATAAGCTGAAATGGAGCCTTCCTCCGAAGGAGAGAGAGGGGTACTCACCAAACCTCTGCAGGTGGAGAGAGCCACGGAGGAGTTCTTGTGGGATCTCAAGGAGCCTTGATAAAAGCAGAAGTCCTCCGGTGGAATGGTCTGCACTGACTTCGTGCCTCCCTTCCCCAGGGTCTGGACGATAAACCCAGGAGCCACCAGGTTGCTGGACGCTTTCAGATCCATGTGAAAGTCCTGCCCGAATCCTCTCAGTCGTAGGTGCAGGGAATCCACTTCTGACAAGGGCGCCGCCGCTCTTCTCCTCCGCTGATGGTGCATGATTTCATGGGACACGTAATGCCCCTCGGGGTCCACCTCATACACAGAGACAAGGTCGGACTCTGAAAGCAAAGCATGGAGCTGCTGATTTGAGAATCCTGGCAATAATTTTAGAATTTGGAAAAGAATCGGCAACGTCAGATTTAATTTATTAGCAAAGGCAGTGGGTGGAATGTTCACAGCCTCCCTCGGAGATCCCTGGGGAACCTCAGGGCATGATCATATTTGGGTTTAAGGGTCTGTGCAGATGTAACTAAGGTAGAGAACTCAAGATGGGTCTTCTGGATTAAAGTAATCCCTACATTCAATGATGGTCTTAAGAGACAGCCAGAGACGCAGAGTGGAGGAGACAATGTGATAGCAGAGAGAGATTGATCATGTGCCTCCAATCCAAGGACTGCCCAGGCTGGTTACACAGCCACCATAAACCAAACGTGGGTCAGATCCTCACTCAGAGCCTCCAGAAATAACCCAACCTGTGACATCTTGTTTCCAGACTTTTTTGCACTTGAACTGTGAAAGAATACATGTCTGTTGCTTTTAGAGCCCACATTGTGGTAATTTTTCATGGCAACCCCCTTGTCATTGGGTCCCATGTAATCAGTTCTAAGTCTTGTTGAATCAATTCTGACTCACAGTGACCTGTGCACAACAGAACAAGACACTGCCCGGTCCTGCACCACCCTCACAATTGTGCCCACGCTTGAGCCCATTGTTGCAGCCACTGTGCCAATCCATCTCCTTGAGAGTTTTCCTTTATTTTGCTGCCCCTCCACTTTACCAAGCATGCTGTCCTTTTGCAGGGACTGGTCTGACTCTTAGTGATCCCACAGACAATAGAAGAAACACTGCCTGGTCTGGTGGCAGCCTCTCAATAAGTACAGTCTATACTCGTGCATCAGCCAAGTTTTTTCTGCATATTTTTAATGCAGTTTTTTGTGGTAAAATGAGGTGCCGTGGCTGATATTTGGGTCGACTTATGCTCAAGTATATACTGTATGTTTGAAGTCCATTGTTACAGCCACTGTGCCAGCCCATCTCATGGAGAATGTTCCTCTTTTTCTCTGACCCAGTACTGTGCCAAGCACACACGTTCTCCTGATAACATGTACAAACTACGTGAGATAAAATCTTGCCATCCTCCTTATAAAAATCATTCTGGTGGTTCTTCTTCCTCTGAGACAGATCCCTGTTTTTTCCTAGCACTCCACAGCACTTCCACTGTTATTGGCCAACAACATATTTCAAAAGCATCCAGTCTTTTCAAATCTACCTTATTCACTGTCTAGCTTCACATGGATATGAGGGGACTGAAAATACTCCAGCTTGGATCAGGCATCTTTGTTTTTTAACACTCCAAGGAAACATATGCCCAGTAACCCTTTCACTCAGTCTAAAATGAAGAAAAAAAATGGACCATATATTCACTTTCAAGTTAAAATTTTAGAATAAATGAAAGTAAAACTTAAAAAGCAAGATCTTAAAAGTGGACTTAAAGTAAATTACAATTTTCTCTATAAAGTAAGAGTGACCCCAAACCATCTGTCATCCAAGTTATTTCTAAGTCTTAGTGACCCTTGGGCTTCTACACCTGTATCCTCTCACCATATTTATTCAATCTGTATGCTGAGCAAATAATGAGAGAAGCTGGCTTTTATGAAGAAGAATGCGGCATCCGGATTGGAGGACAGCTTATTAACAACCTATAATATGCAGATGCCACAACCTTGCTTGCTATAATTGCGGAGAAATTGAAGCCCTTGGTGATGAAGATCTATGCATGCAGCCTTCTGTGTGAATTACAACTCAATGCAAAGAAGACCCAAAACCTCTCAACTGGACCGATAAGTACATCATGATAAACAGAGAAAAGGTTGGAGTTGTCAATGATTTTATCCACAATCAATGCTCATGGAAGCAGTAATGAAAGCGTCAAAAAGTGAGTTGCATTAGGCAAATCTGCTGCACAAGACGTGTGATAGTTAGGTTTATCATGTCCACTAGACCAATAGGAACATATGGGTGGAGTTTAATCAGGTCGCAGCTCTCTCTCAATCTCTGGTAATTGGACCAACTTGCTGCTGCTTTAACTCTTTCTCTCCCTCAACCTAGCTTGCTGCTGCTTTAGCTAGTTCTCGGCCTCAACCTTTGTGCTACACTGCCTGTGAGCCAAGCCACAGACTCCTTTGAGGTCTGCTTCACCACAATATCCCATCTGGGCCTGCTTCGCTAAATCCCATGCTGCTGACTGTTGCTGACTCACCCTGCTGTCCACTGCCTGCAGGGAGACTCTATCTGTTTTGCCTGAGGGAAGACTCCTCTGTCTGCTTCCTTGAACTTAGACTGAAGACCCTTCATGAATTGAAGGGCTTTCAGTATATTAACTGTTGTAAAGAGTGATTTGAACTGAACCCTCTGTACTGCTGTGTAGACTAATTCCTGTTATATTACATCTTACTGTATAAGCCTATTCTTTTATATATATATATATATATATATATAAAAATCATAAGTGTGCTAGTTTTGTTCCTCTAGAGAACCTTGTCTAACACAAAGCATCTGACCCAAGCCATGGTATTTTCCAATGGCCTCACATGAATGTAAAAGTTGGATATTGTTAAAGAAGACAGAAGAAGAATCAAAGCATTTGAACTACGTATGTTGATGGAGAAGAATATTGAAAGTACTGCGGAGCAGCTGTTGGTTTTGAACCTCTGGTCTTTGAGATGACAGCCCAGTGGGTAACCACTATGCCACCAGAGCTCAATGTATAAATGAATGTAAATAAAAACCTCATATGCTAGGAATTGAATGAATTAACAAAATAAACACAGCATCTCATTCAACATTTGAGTGAAATAAACATATAATGTAATAAAATAAAATTTCCTAATAAACTTTTGACCACATGTTTTGGTGTTGGAATAGAAAAAACAAAACAAAAAACTATTGCCTGGTTTTTAACATGATGGTGTGGGGCATATTCCTACCCAGGAGTGTGCTGGGCCTAGCTTACACCAGCCTCTGAGAACTGATTGTACTCATCACTTACTGTCTTTAGTGATACCATATTGGTAGCTTAAAAAGGGTCACACTAGGCAATCAGATATAGTGAAGAAAGCTGATGGTGCCCGGCTATTAGAAGAGATAGCATCTGGGGTCTGAAAGGCTTGAAGTTAAACAATCGCTCATCTAGCTCAGAAGCAACAAGGCCACATGGAAGAAGCACACCAGCTGGTGTGATCATGAGGTGTCAACAGGATCAGGTAACAGGCGTCAGAAGACTCCAAACAAACAAACAAAAACATATTGTTGAGAACAAGAGGGATCAGAGCAGAAACCCAAAACACATCTGCAGAAAATGCTACATCTCTTCACAGAAGGGTCGCAAGGAAGCGACGAGTCAACCACGGTGAAGTATAGCACCGATGAAACATACAATATTCCTCTGGTTCCTTGAGGCTTCCTCACCCCCCATTGTCATGTCCTCAATCCTGCCTTTCACTGTGGGCTAGGCTGGAGCATGTGCACAGGTACAGATAAGAGCTCAGGACACACGGAATCCAGGGCAGATAACCCTCTTGAGGGAAGCAAGACATAGGTTGGTGTAAAATATGAAAATAAAATAATTTATCAAGGGGTCAAGAGGGTGGGAAGTCGGGTGGGAGGGTACAAAAAGAGGAGCTAATACCAAGGGCTCAAATAGAATGTAAATATTTAGGAAATAATGATGGCAATATATGTACAAATATATTTGATGCAATTGATGGATGGATTGTTATAAGAGCTGTGAGAGCCTCCAAAAAATAATCTTAAAAAAAACCCACTAGGAATATTTACACCAGGCAAATTGGCAATCTTTATTAATCAGTGCTCCTCACCCTTCCTGCACTGCCTCAAGGGCCTGATGTTAAACATGTACCACTATATCATTGGGCTCTCTGAAACAGACAGATTTTTCTCATGTGATATAAATAGTTGAATGTTAAAAGTTATAAACTTTAAACACACACACACACACACACACACTCAAACACACATCAATAAAAAAAATTTCTAAAGAGCACCCAAACCTGGCTTTGTGAGTTAATATAGTCTGGAGTTAGAATGTTAACTTAGCAAATCTTTATGTGCCTTTGTTCTTAACAAGGGCCACTGTTTTATGACAAAGGTAAATTTGAAAGTTTCTTATTATTTGTCTGTTTGCTTTTACAGGAGAGTTTTTATAATAGAAGACAGGGTTCAAGACTCCTATTGGAAAATAAGGAAAAACAATTTGGAATCAGCAAACATTTGGGGGCATATTTGCTGTCTGAAAATACAATTTCCCCCAATTTAGCTACCTATTACTACTTCAAATGTAACAGGAAGTTTGCTTTATTGTAACATAATTTCATCATACACTCATCAAAATTTGCAGTAACAGTTGCTATCAGTTGGTATTACTTTATATAAACATTATGGCTAAAGTATTTCTTTCCAAGCCAACTTGAAGAATAGATAGCAAGAGGTCTAAAAGAGGAGCTCTGATCATACAGGGGTTACAAGTGGGGCTGGTAAGCACATTTCAGCAGTCCAAAACCAACAGCTGGCAGTTCTGGGGAAGAAAGATGGAGCTGTCTACTCCTGTAAACAGTTACAGTCTCAGAAACCCACAGGGGCAGTTCTACCCTGTCCTGTAGGATCACTGTGAGTCAGATCTACTCCTGGCAGTGAGAAAACCATCTAAAAGTCACTGGCAACAATGTGATACAAAGTAAATGCTGCTCTACTGTTCTAGGGCTAAATAAGTAACATGATCGAACCACAAGAATGTTTTCTCTGGTAACAGCTCCAGTGTCTTAGAAGAAATACAGCCAGATAGAAACTCCTTCGAAGACAGATGGTGAGACTTTGCCTCACGTACTTTGGACACATGGTCAGGAGGGACCAGTCCCTGTAGAAGGACATCATGCTTGGTGAAGTAGAGGGCCAGAGTCAGAGGAAGGTCCCTGATGAGATGGATGGGCACAGTGTCTGCAACCAAATGGGCTGAAACATAGCCAGATTCTGCTCTATAGAGGTTGCTAGATTGAATGCACTTGGTCACAGCAGTGAAGGTATGCCTCTCTCTCTCTCTCTCTCTCTCTCTCTCTCTCTCTCTCTCTATATATTTATATATATATATATATATATATATTTCCCCCTTTATAATCAAGGGGGTGCAAATACATGATGTGTCATGAAGGAAGATGTGGCTGTTGACTAAGGGAGAACCCCTGCTGTTGGGCTTGACACCTTCAGTTTCAGGCTATGACCAAGCAAGGTAGATGGTGGTCAGGAGGCGGTGCCAGGTGGTCAGAGCAGCCAGGCTGAATGGAGTGCTGAGGCTGCAGCGAGCCCTCCACTCTCTTCCAGCAGCAGTTTCACACGGGATAGCTAAGGGCAAGTTCAGCCCCACGTGGGAAAACCACACACCCCCAGGTACTCTTGACTTTTCTTCCTGGAAGTGGTCCCCTGTGTCTAAGTTCCTTAAAAAAAAAAGTGATATCTGCCAATCCCTTCTGCCATTTCCTTGACTTTCAGAAACTAGATTTGCAAAGGATTTGCAAAAGAAAAGGTGATGGGGGAGGGGGGGCCTAGGAGGGTCTTAGTTCTCTAGTGTCCCTACAATAGTAATACCAGAAGGGAGTGGCTTTAACAAACTGGGATTTTTTCCCCCCCCTCACAGTTCAGGAAGCGGGAAGTCTGACTTCAGGGACTGGCTCTAGGAGACAGCTTTCTTGTGGTGCCGGTCCTTGTTTCTTGATTCTGTTCAGATCTTCCAGTGAAGGATCGCCCAGAGCTTGCTCACTCACTTGTTTAATCTCTTTTGGATCACAGAAGGTATTGTCTTAAGACACACCCTATGTGAATATCATCTCACTTACAAAGCAACGTTTCAGGATTTAAAACCAAATAGGGGTTTGAACTCTTCCACAGGTAGAGAGGTGAGGATTTGAAAGACACAATTTTTTTGGAGACACAATTCAAACTTAATGGGACCTTCTACTTCCAACACACACAATTAAATTGCAGAACGTATTATAAAATAAACAGGAACGAAGACAAGAGCAACGATGAAAAAGATGAATTTCAAACGAACGGATAATTAATCTTTTTCCTTGCAGCCGGACACAATGCACCGAGTTCAAACATTTTAAATCATTTATATCTGGCGCCCTCTGGTGGTCCTTAGCATGTGAGGCTCCCTTTGATATTTCTCATTTTAGGGTATATGAGAAATAGGAGGCCATCTACTCCTGTAAAGATTGACAGTCTCAGCGAGCCCACATGGGGTCTCTATGAGTCAGGATCCACTCCACGGCAGGGGGTGACTCAATATTTGGTAGAGAATTGCATTAGTTCATTCAGAAATGAAAACTCTTTTATGCTATTCCTTTGTTATTTTATCAAGACAAACTACTCAAGGGCATGTACAATTTACATGCCTTAAAACACTGTAAATGCTATCAAGTACTGTGAATGGTTCATTTTCATTTACTAGAGTGTCTTGACAATAGGCTGGGTTCATTGAATAATCTTTACATTCCTTCGAGACAATGCTGACTCATAACAACCTATTTATAGGACCGGGTAGAACTGCCCTTGTGAACGTTTTCTGTAACTGGTCACTGGAGTAGAAAGCCAGGTCTTCCTCCCGCGGAGCTGCCAAGGGGCGGTTTCAAACTGTCCACCTTGCGGGATCACAGCCCAGCGCATAACGCTAAGCCACCGAGGTGCTTCTCGTTAAACCTAGTTCTTCCCTCACAGTCACCACTCAGATTTGAGACTGCAATTTAGTCTTGGAAATTCAGCAGCGTTTAATATGTAGTCATTGCCAAAGAGCTGGCTTCCGGTGAAAAGCACTCCGAGCAATTGCACACACCTGCTTCCTTCCACAGGCACCTTGAAACATAGTAATCGAGGGTCAGAGAGACCCACCCCTGGGAAACGTCAAATTTAGAAACACCGGGAACGTGCGAGTGAAAACCACACATTGCAAAGACCCAAACAGCAGGTTCATTTTCACGTCCAACCACTGCAAAGGACTTGGATATCGATCGCGTCGGAGGTCCCAGTAAGCTGGTCACCACTGGATGCGCTGGGACATTTCATTTCCCTTTTCAAGTCTGGAAGAGCATGAACTTGATCCTGAGATGATCAACCCGCGCACTGCAAAAATGACTCCCACCGCCCGACTCCTGCTCTAGTGGGCGATAGAAGGAGATGGTCCAGGAGGAGAAAGGGGATGCGGGAAGGAAGAGGAGGCGTGGGTTAGAATCGCGGGTTAGTGCGTCCTCTCAAATAGTTCTAACCTCCACCCCTGTTTTCCGTGGTTATAAATAAGTAACCTGCCTGGTCTCGGTGTACTGTCTGTGGCAGGGACCCCGGTAAGCCCGAAAGCCGGAAGTCCGATCTGGGGGTGCTGCATCCCCCCCCCGCGCCGCAGCGCCTTCAAAGTGGCGATGATCAGTGGGGTTGGGGACACCTCCAGCGCCTCCAACAACAGCGCTGGGGAGCTTGGGGGCCTCTGACTTGCGGATCAGAGCCCTCACCTCCAGGCCTTACTCACCTGTGTCCAGCAGCCAGTCTGGGCGCTGGGCGCTGTGGGGACGACGCAGGGGGACGCTAGGGCTCCGGGACGCCGCCGCCGCTGTGGCTGCCAGGGCGCACGCAGGTACCAGCTGGAAAAGAGCAGGGATGCCTCTGTGAGAAGGGGCTGCCGAGGGACCCGCGGGGCTAAGGACCCCGGGCCAGAAGGCGGGCGCACACTCACCTGCTGGGCCACCTGCGCCAGGAGCAGCAGTCCCCGGAGTGCGGCGCCGCGCCCCGCGCTCGGCGCGGGGGCTGAGCACCCGCCGGCGAGCAGGCAGGGGCGCGCGCTCCGAGGGCCCGGGGCACCCATGGTCGGAGCCGGCGGTGCGCGAGGCTGCGAAGGACGCGAGGACCGACCACAGCCCGCCCCGCCGGGACTCGGCGCCCGCGCCCGGGTTATTACCACGGCTCCGCGGCGCGCGGGGCGGAGTGGTGGGGCTCCAGCCCGGACCGTGGGAGCGCACCGAGAGACGGAAGGAGGGAGGGGACGCAGGGGTGGGGGGAGGGGTGGGCAGGGAAGAACCAGGGGGCAGGGCCAGGGAGGAGGAGAGGAGGGGAGAGGAGGGCAAAGGAGTGGTGGGGGCCGAGGTGAAGCGAGCACTGACGGGTAGAAGTCGGGAGAAGGCGAGGAGGGCGAGGGGGCAAGGGGACAGGGGACAGCGGAATCCTAAGGGCTGGAAGGCTGGGAAGGGGAAGTGGGTCTCCACCCCCAGGGGCGCGAGTCACCCCAAACCACCGCTGGTCCTCCCTCAGGGAGGATGCGGGCTGTGCACCGCAGGGACCCTTCCAGGGCGGCGGCCACCCTTAGAACCCCTCAGAACTCAGAAGGGCGCCCCTCAGCTCCACCCCCAGGCCCCAGGCGACCCCGCGAGAACTGGCACTTGCTGGGACTGCGTGCTCAGGTGGCCCCGCGGGAGGACCCCCGCCACCCTGGGGAAGATCCGGTGGAAACGGGTCGGGGACCTCTGCGGGCCTGCCTCTCAGGCACCACGATGTCACAGTGGATTTGAGGGTTCTGGGGAGCCCACGCGGTTCAGTCGCGGATCCTGTCTTTGAGCTGTCTGCCTGGGGCTCTTCGCCCTGAGGGACTCGGCTAGGTCTCAGGGTGCGCAGGGCAGAGCTTGGGGCCCAGGAGATAGCATAGCTCTTGCACAACTTGCTCACTGAATTGGCAGCAGGACAGGGTCTCTTGGGCATCCCTGGAAGGCCTGCCTGGGAACACTCATGTGCTCCAGTGTGCCTGCCTGCCAGTGCTGGCGTTTTTGAGTGTGCACACGTAGGTGTGCATGTGTGTATATGTATGCACACGTGGATGGGTATGCATGTATCTGTGCACGCGTGGGTGTGTATGCGTGTCTCTGTGTGCACATGGGCACAGGTGAATATGTGTACATATGTGTGCCTATGAGTGTAGGGGTTTACATACTTTTGTGCACACATGCATGGATGCACGTTTATGTGTGCGTGGTACGTTTGTGTTAGTGTGTGGTTGTGCCTTTGCACGCTAGTTTGTGTGTGAGTATGGGTAAGTGTGTGCCCTTTGCCTCCTGTGGGCTCTGCCACCTGCTGTCTGCTTGGGTGTCCACAGCCCTTGTGCTCAGTTTGGCTGGGCTTAGCATGCTTAGGAGGAATGGGCAGTGGTCTGTGGCCTGCTCTGCCCAGCCAGCCCTGAAACGGTAGCTGCCCTGGAGACCTCAGAGCAGATTTCTGCCCTTGGCCCCCTGCAGTGGCAATCCAGACCTGTGTATGTGTGGTGGATGGCACCCTGAGACCACCTGTCTGTGTGGGCCTACCCACCTTGTCTGCTTGTGGTCACTCTGTCTCCTCAAATAAGTATTTTAAAATAAAGACCAATAGCAGGGACAAAACAAGAGCCTGGATCAGGGGGTTGACCCAAAGCCATCAGTCACCTCCCGAATTCCTGACAGACTCCTGGCTCAGCAAGCAAAAACCCTTGGGAGAATTTCCTCACCCTGCAAGTGGGATAGTGGGCAGTGCCTGGAGGCCCCCATATGTCCTGGACCCCAACCAAGCCTAGTGCTGTTGAGTTGATTCCAATGCCAAGCGATTGTATGGGACACAGTAGAACTGCCCCACAGGATTCCCAGACTGTAAATCTTTATGGAAGCCCAATGCCACCTTCTCCCCTGGAGCTGCGGTTGGGTGGGTTCAACCCCCAATCTTTCAGTGATCCCCCAAGTGCTTTAACCACTTCACCACCAGGGCTCCTAGATCAATGATTCAAACCCACTGTCATCAAGGGAGCCTACAGGAAGGAGGAGAACTGTCCTGCTGGACTTCAGAACTGATGAATTGAGGTTAGTGTCTGCTGGTTTTAGGTAGACCTGAAGGTTAGCCCTTCAAAACCGCCAGTGACTCCAGTGGTAGAAAGATGAGGTTTTCTACTCCCGTAAAGATTCACAGCCTCAGAAACTCAAAGACTCAGTGCTACCCTGTCCTATAGAATTTCCACGAGTCGAGTTGGCATTGACTAGATGACATTGAATTTGGTCTAGGCTGGTTCTACATGCTTGATGTCTAACAGGAGCTCTGGTAGTGTAGTTAGGCTGCTAACTACAAGGTCAACAGCTCAAAACCACTAGCTGCTCCTAGGAAGAAAGATGAGGCTTTCTACTCCCATAAAGACTCACAGTCTCAGAAACCCACAGAGGCAGTTCTACCTTGTCCTACAGTGTCACTCTGTCTGGGATATAGGCGATGGCAGTGAGTGAGAAGGAGTGGAACCGTTACTGGAATAGACAGCCTCATCTTTTTCCCGCAAAGAGGCTGGTGGTTTCAAACTGCTTACCTTGCAGTTATACTTCATTTGTAATACTCCACTGCACCACCAGGGCTGCAGAGTGATGGCAGTGAGGACTACTAGTCTCCCTACTGAGACATGTTCCTTATTATTTAACAGCAAGTCACTTTGAATATCCAGTAGAGGTTTGATCAACAATAGAAGCTAACTGAAAAACAGAAGTGTGGTGCTAAGGACCTGGGGCAGAAAACCCTCAGGAGTGATTATCTTCCTTCTGGGTTCCATCCCCTTCCAAATTCACAGAGCTAAGGACTGATTCTCACCTGGAGATACATGGTCTTTCAGGTTACAGGGCTATAGGGAGCCCTGATGGCATAGTTGGTTTTGCATGGGGCTGTTAACCATGAGGTCAAGCAGTTCAAAACCACCACTTTGAAACCCACAGGGCCAGTTTCTACTCTGTGCCATAGAGTCACTCTGAGCCAGAATCATCTCAATGGCAGAGAGTTTATGTGATAGGGCTCAAACGTGGTTGTAACTCTTTGGAACTGCCCACGCAATGCGAATGGGCACACCATGGAAACAGGGAAGGCATGGTTGGTTTGTGCCTCACGGAGAGCCCACTGTTCTGCAATCCTGCTTGCAATCCATGTGTCGTGTTTACACACATTGCTTCAAATCACCAGCCAGGCTTCATGCAATTCAGATTGCATTTTTCCTGAGGAGCTTGTGGAACATGGAGCTCCAGCCGTATTTTTGTCTGGGAGACCGGGGTTGCTAGTGATATCCATTTATTTTGTACACATTGTGAGCACAGAATTTCATCGGAATGCACAAATAATCCTGTCCACGAATGTTCCAGAAGGGAAGGACCTCAGGATGACAACTGTGCTTGACACAATGGATTTATGGATTGTGATGAGAGCTGTAAGAGCCCCCAGTAAATTGGTTTAAAAGCAAACAAACCCCCAGGCTGGTCGTGGTGGATCAACAGTCTTGTGGCTGCACACAGTCCAGGGCTGGCCCCGGTCGTCTTGTTTTCCTAGCTCCCCAGCCCCCTGTGAAAGACGCTGAGGAATCTCAATGTAAGCAGTCAGGTGGGTGCGCACTGAGGAATCTCAATGTAAGCAGTCAGGTGGGTGCGCACTGAGGAATCTCAATGTAA